ATTATCAAAATAAATTTCTGTCAGCCCAAATACGTTCCTACATTAGAGACTCCCAACAATGACGTGCATACACCCATGTTGGGTCACAGCCGTGGAGTTAAGGGTGGTGTCTGAGGTCTGCTTTGAAACGCCAATTCCGTTCTTATCACAGGTGATTATCCAATATTCTTTCAGAGAAGCTTCTGTTGAGGTATGTTTACTTCCAAATTTGATTATTTACTCTGTATGTTGCTTATTCATGATTTATTGTCTCTGCAGTTAGATATATCTGCTCGATATCGGTCAACCCGTCGCTGGGCTCGATATTGCTTACTCCTCGATCAGCTCATCTCAACTTCTCAATGCCGTGACTAGCTTATTCTTTCTCTTCACCTGAAGGTTGAGAAGACATGGAGAAGTTGCGTTCTTCTTTGTCGAAAACCTTAAAGTCACTTGGTGACTCATTTTCGGAGGACGCAACTGTGGTAAGTATTACCTTTCCGGTGCCGCACTAGAAGTAAACAGTAAACTAGGTTAACTCCTTTATCTGTTTGTTTTGTAATTGCCTGGAGATCGGATCCTTGCTCTTCTTGCTTTAGTTAGAGTCTTGCAGATGGACGATATGTCCGACTACATTGTATCTCCGCACGACGGCTCACTTACTCTAGATTACGAAGCTAACGTCTCTGGCGTTATGAAGGTAAGCTCACTGATATTGCACTTTTTTCTTATTTTTGTATCCGCTGACTTGGGTCCTAACCTTTCGGTCTGCAAGTGCTCGTGTATAAGCTGATACAATGGAGAAGTGATCATATTTCTTCCTTGCGTTAGTCCCGCGGGCCCGACTTTGTTCGCCTAGAACGTCGCCCTCCATTCAACCGACATCTCTGCCGGGCTTTCACTTGAGTGGGATCTTCCTGCCGGGCGGACATTACCCTTGATGCGCTGAACACAGGTACAACACGCCATTTTTCCCCACCTAGGCGTAAGGTTATCCCTCCCCTTCAGCGCGAGATCCAAGACCACCGTCGCGGCCTACGGCGGTTTTTTTTTTCAGTGCGCAATGCAAGACATAGGAGATGCAAGCGCACTCTTACCCAAGTTTGGCAGTCTCTGGCAGTTTGCGACCGCTAAACCGATAGTCGAAAACATCTCTCACCACAAAAAAAAGCAAAGGATGCGTTTCATGTTGCACAAAGCATTTATCTGATATTACTCTACGCCGGAGTCAACTGTAGTTGTTAGTGCCAAGCACCAGCATCCGACTTGACCCTATGATCGTTATCATCTTCACAGAGACAGGTCCAGTGGCCATGGAGGGGCGCTTCTGGTCGTTGTGCGTTTAGATAGATACGAACCGGAGAGGGTGATACTGTTCAGTTATATTGTTTCCTCCGGGCAGTAACAAATTCTACACTACCCTTATCATGATATGGATAAGTGGTTCCCTCTACTTGCCCGCTTAAAAGCTCTTAATCCACTAAAACTGTAATGGTTTGGACTATATTTTCACCACTGATTCGTGTTTACTGAACAAGATCTAACTTCATAACTCCAAGGTATCCCCAAATTCAGGTTCGTCCCAGTACTCCGACTAAAGTGCAGTATTTTGCCTCCTGAAAGTGTTGGACACGATTATGAGACCACCGTTGATCCCGAGTATGCGTCGATATTCATTGAGGACGATTTCAATGCCATCGATTATGAAATGAAAGTTAGCGGACGATTCACAATGTTTTATTTGGAGTCTATTTAACTATTCGTCCAAAGGACGAGCTAAACATGCCATAATCTAAGTATCTGAAAATGGGAGTGTAAAGCCAGAAACGAAGTATTAATGTTGAAGCGGTGTTATGCCCACACAGATGTCGCAAATAAGTACGCAATTTTAGTTTGTGGCATGCTCTCGAGGGTTCGGCAAATAGTGCAACTCAATCCATTGTTGGGAACTGTTTTGATACCTTGATATCCGCAGAAACTCTTCGGAATTGAACTACGTCTTGAAGATGTCGACCGAGAGCGATTGCGGCTAAAATCGCAATTGCAAGTTGTATCGAAGAAGATTTCCACTCTGATCATGGAGAAGGTTGGCTTTACAGTTACGCACTCAACATTTGTCTTTCCTGAACTCAGTATTGCATTGCAGTCGCCTTCATATAATGGCCAAATAGAAGATATGGATTGCATTAGAGACAGTCTGAAAGAGTTAGTGTGCAACATCCGTGTCATCAGAAGGTAGGAGCGGTGGCTTGTTCAAGAGGATGTGCAGTATTTTTGTATTTCTCGTGTGCTTGTGGTTTTCTTATTGCCAACTCATGTAGAGCTCTTGCTGGTGCGCAGTCAAAGAGCCGGACGGCGCTGTCAATCCTCGCGAATGAGAAAAAGAAACGGATGTTGAAGACTTTGCACTCAACATTACGAATCATCAAAACTCTCTACGAGACAGAGTTTCATCTCAGAGATTGCATTGAGGTTTGCTAACGTTTATTGAAATCCTTTTGTCCAACTGTAGTTGAAAGGGTACACGTGGCGCAGCATCTCTTTCTTTGCACCCTTAGGACGGGTTCATACTTTGCTAATGAGGACTTTCGGCTATTTAAACGATTGCGCGATGAGGAAACTATAAGTATGGACATGGCGATTGCGGAAATTGAGCAATCCGGCGATTTGGGGTACTTGGCATTTTGACGATTGCGACTATTGCGCGCCAAAGAGGGGTATCGATCAGTTGTCTCCCAAAACGCCGGATCGCCGAGTTTCTCGAATCGCCGGATCGCTCAGTCCCAGATCGATACCTATTCTTTCACTGTAGTGCGACCTGTCACCAAGTCGCTTCAGTCACAAATTATGAACGCGGTTGAAAGACACCGAAGACACCTCCTAAGTTTCACAAAGCTGCCTGAAAGGTTTCACTTATTTGCCTTATGCTTTTCTTCCCCCCCCCCCTCTTTCAGTACAGACACTCCAGCCCTTTTCTTCACGAATATCCCAGTCAAACAATTACTTTCAGGACGGTAACTTTCCCGTAGCCATAAGGGTGTGCTTGGAAGCTAAAGAAGCAGCAAACACCTATCGACACTTCAGTTGTGTAAGGTGTGTCTAGAACTCATCTCAGTTCCTAATAGTTTTCGATAGTAGTATATATCAAGAGATTGAAGGGCCCTTCAATGGACTTGGTAATTTAAAACATTTGTTACAGTGATCTGATGACCAAACTGGTTGGTTCTACGAACCTGATCGAAAGTGCTCTCGATTCGGCGTTAGCCGCATTTACCATAGTATTCGATCATGACCGATATGCGTCAGTCTATTCGGCTTTTACAATGCTCAATAAAGTAGAGGTGAGTGTGGTGACGTCAACTTATACTCTTAATTAGTCTTTAATTTGCACCATCGATTTCGCTAATAATAATGATCTTAGCCTGCATCCAAGAAGCTCATCCTTCACTTTATCTCGACTATAAAGAAATCATCGCAGAAAGTTATTGAGGAAAGGTGTAAAGCTTGTCAAACGGTTGCTGATACAACTGAGATTCCTTATGAGGATTTGTGTCAGGTTTGTTCATTCAAAACCTGTAGAATGTAAAGCTGATGAATCTGCTTAATTTGTTCAGCGTGTAAATTGCGAAGAAATTGTGTCAACTGTCCGAGAACTTGGATACGTCATGTGTAAAATCCTTACCATCTTTCATACAATCCTTCGGTTTCACACTGATGATGACGAGCGAAAGCGAATGAGCAACGCTGACGATCGTGAGTGCCATTCAAGTTTTTGCAGTTACCTTGGTCTGTTTTTTGTTTTGTTGATGAAGGCGTATACCTTGCTGCTGGGTAAGTTCCGTAGTTCTCTATTGTTCGAAGTTTGCCGTTTCCCCAGCTGTAAAAACTATTTGTGGATCTAAGCGGTGGAAAGGCTTCTGCTCCAAGTCAGTCGGGTCCAAACTCTCCTAAATCTCCTAAATATAGGGCCGTGTTCATACTTTGCAGATGTGGGGAAACGAGTATTCGGGAGAATTGGCAGGTCAGGTCATGGCAGCTCCTATCGAATCTTTGCCAATTTGCCCAACCTGCGGCCTTGTCTGGTAAGGTTTTTATGAAGGTTGGCGATATTGTCCCAGGGAAGGGTTCTGAACTTCATTACCAGCTGAATGATTCTGTAACGAATTCCATTTTCCGCTTAATCTCGCACTCAAATTAAGATACCGTTAACATTATGATGAGTTTCTCGTCACAGTTCATCTTCAGCCATCTCGCCGCAAACGCTGGGGCGTGTGAGGGGACTGGGTTTTGAGCGATTCAAAACCAGCTCCCGACCGAGCTCTCCACAAATTATTTGAGCAGGCAAAGAACAACAATTGGAGAGAAACAGACTGGCTTCGCGCCAAACTCAGGCACAGCGACTGCAGCGAAAACGGCTATATGTAACACAGTCCCACTAATGTTCCTTCCAGGGAGTTTTCATTGTCTGTTCTGGAAAGCTTCATGTTCTCAGTCTCTTATCTGAGTCTTTATTGTATAGCTTAGCGAACTAAAACTCCATGTATGTATCTAATTTCCAGTGATAATTGACTTTCAGCTTATCTCGGGATCATGGTTAACCAGCTGACGACGTCTATGCACGCAGTTTTTCGCGTAGCGCTGTCCAGGATGCATTCCCTCTTGTGCAGTCAGGAATTCTCCTTACTGAAATTCGATCAGTTGTTGGATATTGTTGATATGGCGAATAAGTATGTGTCAGGTTACCCGGGTTTCACTCTACGATTTTTACTGCATATTTTAGATTTCGTCGCTTCGGTCGTTCCTTCTTTGGGTACCCTTCTGATGAATTGTCGGTATCCTTAGAACAACAAGCCGTCATCTACTTTATTCGATACCATTCGGAACGAATGGAAGAGTTGCGAATGTTTTTGGAGAATGAGTGCTTCACAATATGTCCAGTGCCTCATCAGTTCACTATATTTGATTTGCAAGTTAGCAATTTCTCTTTTTTCTTTGAAGCTTGGTCCTCATTAAGGTACCTTTGCACTTTCCTTCTGTGCAGGATATTTCGAAGGCGTAGTGAAGGTGAAGCAAGTCCCCGTTCGATACAACCCCTCCCCCTCCCAAATTCATCGATCGGGAGAAGGGTGGGCTGGGGTACTAAGACTTCACCGTAGCGGCCAGCGCCTCAGAAACCATGTGTGAAGAACCCCTCTGTGCCAAATATGGCCTACCTCCTTAGCTGATGATGAGTAGCCCTCCTCCTCCCGCCCCAGACTGCCATCCACAATTAGGATGATGGTTGCCATGTCTCGATATTGCTCTCCCGCGTTGAAGCGTTAAGCATTTTTCAGGACTTCACCTTCCTGGAAGAGTGTCGGAAACGAAAGGATAACGCTGAAACGCCGACGAATAACTCGAATGGAGAACAGCATGGATTTTCGATAATACCTCCTGATTTCGTCAACCCGTTCGGTAGTTCAGAAATAGAGGTACTTTTTGGGTAATAAACGGAAGAGTACAGAATCTTAATGGTAAAAATTTAGTCCCAGAAACAGTCCGCACACACGTCGAGATCGGTGGAAGAACCTGATGAATCACATGAGGAGAAGAACGAATCTGTAGCGAATGAGGAAGTGTAAGTTGAGAGGGTTAAGGAAAGATGAGCCAAGAAAAAGCTCAGCTAATTATACATTTCTTATTGACATTATTTTGCTTTCAGGCTGGATCACACGCCCAATATCTGCAATACCGCGCTCAATTTGCTTCGCTTTTTTGGTGCGTAATGTTTATTCTTTAGTTTTGACCATTTCAAATCCGCTTACAACCCTTCAAACAGACTTTCTGTATTTTATGGTTTAGGGCGTTATATCCGTATGACGTTCCTGCTGCCATCTATTGCAGAATACTCGGTTCCTGCGTTAACACAACAATTTGAATATTTTTTCTATTCGGTACGTGATTGCGTTTAATTAGAGGTTTTATCGGTTGGAGAGTCAACTGAACCGTTCAAATTATTGTTTCAAGCGTGTCTTTATTGCCGTGTTCATATTTTGCTTGTGAGGAGATTCAGCCGTTTGAGAGATTGCAAAGCAAGCAAAGTATAGGTATCGATCTGGGATCGGGGAGATCGAGCGACGCGGCGATCTGAAAGATTGAGCCATCCAGCGATCTGAGACTTGAAGATTTGGCGTTTTGGAAGATCGCCGAGTTTCCGCTTTCGCTAGCGACCGGCTCCGATGGATACCCATCCACTAATTTAGCATGCAAACGACGGAAATGCCGTGTCTCTCCAAATCGTGGAACCGCTCAATCTCCGCTGTCGGATACCTATAGCTTCCTGGTCCGCAGTCTTTCAATTCGTCTAGTCTCCAAAATCGCCGCATATTTTCGCAGAGTATGAACACGGCCTTGAATGTTGCGATTTTTTTTTTTGGAATCCCTGCATTCAAGGCCGTGATTAGGGAGACTGTTACTGTACTCTTGGTGTTAATTTCCGTTATTGTTATGAATTTATCAAGGGTACGAAATCAATTTCAGTGTACCATTACAAAAAACTTGAATTTGGTGTCAGTTGTAGTACTTAGTAGCACTAATGGTTCCAGATTTGTTTATTCTTTGGTGCTGATGGATCAGATACGATGGAACCGCTGGTCAGGATTGAGGCTGTACTCTCGGACATCTCGGACCGGCTTATAATAGACGAGTCTCGGCTGCTTGGCCGGAGGGTATGAAAAGGTTTGTTATTGTACTTTGGGGCCGGGAAAGTTTTATCTTCAGATGTACAGCACAATTCCCAATTATCTTTCTTACGGTCTTCGTGCTTTTTTTGTGTTTTTTAGCGCACAATATTGCTTTACTACTTATTCAACGGGCCGAGGACAAATTTCTGCGGTGACGCACATGTCTCGAGTATTTTTTCTTAATGGACAACAACTTTCAGGGTCTGCGCCTATGCGGCCGTCGCTTTGTTCGATATTGAATCTTAGCCACGTTGATCAACTGTATGGTATTGTGGAGAGAATAGTTGCGGTAGAATCAGTGTACGTTTCATTACCCCTATGCTGAATGATCTGCTACATAACGTTGTGTTGTTGTAGGGAGTTTGTCGCTAGGCAACTTGATCTTGTTCGGCCTGTGATGGAGTCACTTCTTCCTCCGATCAACGAAGGAAACCTTGCAGAATTTGGATCAGTTTTATGCCAGGGTAAGAATTGTAGACTAGTTGATATGAGCGCTACTTGCAAGCCATTTTTCGGTGCAACTTGACAACTTGGCGGGTAGGGGGTGGGGGCAAGAGATAGTGGTCCGCGAAGTCTTCACAGGCCATCTTGCGAAGGCCTGCAGTTTGTGGTAGCCAGCGTGGCTCTGTAGTAGCATTTTGCAATCTTCACAAGAATCAGGTCTCATCAAAACGAGGCCTACTAGTTAACTTGATCAGCAGAAGAACTAGCGTTCAGTACAAAATTCCCCTCCCACGCCGAACAGCGCCGATTTTTCATTCTGATCGTGTTACGTTTTGTGGAATTTGTTCCTTTTTTTGTTATTTGAGGAGTTCCTCGAGGACGAGGGGAAAGTCTTGCTCAGCTGTTGGAATTCTTACTTTCTTCTATGGGAAGGGGGGGGGTTCAGGTCCACAGCCGCACATAGTATTCCATCGCCACTAGAAAGTGTATGCCGTGAATGTCGGGAGCTTGCAGTGGCCGAAGACTTTTGATGAGGTTTTAATTCCACAGGTGTGCGACTTCCGCGGTAGGCTGCGGTCAATTCGCGCGCTGAGCGTCTCTGCGTCTCCATCCACCGCATGCTCGCGCAATTCCGGAAGCCAACTAAACTTTATTTACCTTTTTGACGGTTTCGCTGGACCCCTACCCATTACTTGCGATGGCAGAATGAGTATTTATTGATCAAATTTTGTGCAGCTATTGTTGTGCACTTACAAATGGACTTACCGTAGTCTACCTTCGTACGAATTTAGGTGTTGTCCGTTGTTCCTGAGACCCGACGCCTAGTTTACGACTGCGTCGCCAGCCGAGCGCTCAAGTATCCTGTTCTCATCGCCGCTGTTTCAAATACAAAGTGGGATGTGAACGAGTTACAGAGTCGGCATAGCAATTATGTAGACTTTATGATCAAAGTAAGTTTTTTCATTTCTTGATTACCGTCAGAGTTCAAGCCGTTCTTATTTCAGGATTTCGAAGGATTTGCTCTGCGATTGGAACGCGCCACTGAAAACATACATCTGAATGAAGCAGGCCGTGCATTGTTGTGGGACAGAACTATATATTACGCTTTCAAAGCCTTGGTTCAAGGGTACGTGGAGCACGACCTATTTATGAAATTCATTACTAATTTAACGGTACTTTTTGCTGCAGATATTGTGAAGGTGGCAAGTGCTCAACGGAAGGTCGCGCATTGATGCAACTCGATTTTCAACATTTATTACTGAAGGTTTGTTAAGAGTTTCATTTGTCAGTTTGTCTTAAAGTAGCTGCTAACTGTGCTAACTGTAATAAACTTTTTTTACTTAAATTTAGAGACCTAATACGCTCATTTCCGGGTGTGAATGGGCGCAGGTTCAGTACAGGTCTGAGAGATTCTGCTAAGAGATAGAAGACTTTCCACCTGATTCATCAGTGAGCAGAAACCTGTAGTGACGTCAAATTAGCGTGTTATGTGACGTCGGTGACCTGACATCCATCAATGGCAGGTAACGTACTGGATCTCGTATCTATGCTGCATCAGCGCCCTAACAGTAATGGATCCAGAAGTAATGTTGACCAAGCACTGGATCTCTGTGCCATTGATGTAATGGCTTGCAGTATTTTCACTATTTTCTGTTACAGCTGAGCAATCTGCGGTGCGGTCGCCCAGTTCCGCATACCGCATTTGTTGAAGGATACATAAAGGCATTCTATTTGCCAGAAAACGGACTCGAAGAATGGATCAGCAAGCACACTGTAGGTTCAGTTTGTTAGTAGTGTATAAAACCGCGTTTATACTTTGCGGTTGCGTAGAGAAGTCGTGATTTCGAAGAATGTGTGCAAAGGAAAGCGTACGTATCGATCTAAAGACTCTGCAGTTGCGAAGAGGCGACAAAGGATAGGATGGGGAATGATTTGCCCTAGCCATTAGCGAATCACGCATACTCCTGAATCGTGGTTTACTAGAATGATAGCTCAATGCTATTCTTTGGCGCTATTTCCCGATTTACTGTTTTCCGCATTGGCAGCAACTAGTAAGCGTCCAGAGTTATCGCGATGCATGAGCGCCGCACGCCGAATGATATGCAGGGTGGTCACAAACAATCATCCTTGCTATTCTCTATAGACAGCCATTCCAAAACACTTGCAACTCACGGCTATTCACCTACCTCTCCTCAAGACACTGACGCTGCTCGATCGATATCCGTCTCTGTGGCTGCCGCTTTCCTTCTGTGACATTGGGAGATTATTGCAACAGTAGCGCGTCCTTCACGAGCAATCATGTATCATCTGCAGCCTGAGCCAACGAACGATTTGCAGTATGACATGGATTTGGCGGCGATGCCAGCTCGTTTCCGTCATCCTGCGAGATGAAGCGAGCAGTGATTGGTGGAAAATGGGCCAGCGTCGCTCCAATACCGACACGCCCCATCGGTTCGGTTTCTAAGCACTGTAATTTATCGTATGAAGCACAACTGCTTTTCAGCTGCTTCTTTCCATGTTCGATAACGAAGGTTTATATATGAGACATTATAGGAGTACACAGCCAAAACAGATGATCTCACTTCTCAGCGTTGCCACACATGTGTCGAAGAAGGCAAGAACGAGGATAATAAATGCTCTCAATGACTGAGTAGAATAATAATGGTGTAGGTTTGCCTATGATTGTTCAAGGTATGATCGGGTGGCTCATAATAAGTCAAACGTTGCAATATTTGTACATTTCACATTCTTGTATTTGTATAAAAGGGATGAGTTAGGGTGATTCCTTTCCTGCATTCTAGTCATAATATAATTCCTTATCAGCATTTTTGTCAAGGATCTTTCGACTGCTTGTGTCATTAGGTCCTTATAAACATATCAGTGTTCTCAAATGTCACTCTCATAAGATTCATCCATTGAAAGCATAAATTATTCGTGTCTTTTCAACAGTGGGCATTCTGTAAGTGGCATTCAAATGCGCTGGTGAGCATTTAACTATGGAGAACAAACATAGTTAGGAAGCAGCCCGGAAAATCCGAGGCGTGGCATCGCACGAGCCACCATTATAGCTAGTTGAACTGGCCCCGGACACGCCCCATCACATCCGCAGCGAACGAGGCCAGTGTTTCTAGCTCCCCGTAAAGTTTGACAATACCATATTTCAAAATCTTATATTTTTCATAAATTCAACAGATAACATAGAAAAGCATTATAGAAATCAAAAAAAAGCTGAAGAGATCCATCCACTGGTTACGAAAATCAAAGAGCACAAAGTGGTTAATGTACTGATCACACATAATTGATGAAAAAAGAGATTGATCAAAGCTCCACAGAAGCAATTATTGACAACTGCTGGTTAATTCACGTCATCACAGATATGAAGAAATCCGAACCATTGAAGAATTAAAATTATCGTTCATTAGGAAATCAATAAATATGATCTGGTAGCATTACATAGTAGAGAAACGCGTTATTTGCTACGACCTCATCGTACGACAGCCTGGTTCGCTGCGGGTTATTGGGTGTGTCAGGGGGGACAGGTGGGGCACGGGTCCAAATCCGTTTTCTACCAGTTGTTGAAGCGAGCAAGCCAAGACTATCATGTCGATCGTAGCAGTCGTTTTCCACCACTCGCTCAGCCTCGCTTCTCGCTTAGCCGCTTCGACATAGTGGAGAAAGGGCTGGGTGGCGCCCCAACCCATTTCGCCTGACACGCCCCTCCATCCGTAGCGAACGAGACTGTATATCTTATGTATAGAAAAGAAGTCTAGGTTATACTATGAAACAAAAAAGGTGAATTTGTAGCATAGAATTCGCACAAAAGCGATACTTGTTATTCCGCTTACTTCAGCTTATTTCGTTTTCATCGATTACCCGTCGTAAGAGTAATCAGCTTTGTTATGCATTATGAGTTGGTCATCCACGAAATAGAAGCTATCCGAGCGAGTCTCGTATGGGCTTTCCACCATTTCTCTCACTGGAATTTTTTGATTTTTAAATAACTGTGGGTAAATAAGTGAACGTAGCGCAGAGCTCAGTTTCAAAAGGGCAATCGCCACGAAGTCGAAGCATTTACACAGGGGAAAATACGAGCCAGTAGGCACTGCTTACCCTCTATTGCCCATTTCTTCGGGAATGAAGTCAGAATTCTTTCGAGCTTTACCCTCAGCTCATTTTCACACTCTGAAGACAAACTTCCAGCCAAATCGGAATTCGACCCAAACTTCATGAAAGCATGTCCCTCTCCCACCTCCCTAAACCGGACATCGTCGAAATCACTCCCGAGGCAAATCGTGTTGCGAGAATTCACTTATGAGTCACTGTCAAAGTCGTATATTTCACCATTACAGATTCTCACCGCTCACAATTGCAGCCACAATTTCGAGCTCTACCAGTACACCCAGGTCACTATTTGCGCTAACGAACCGAGCTCCTATATCAGATGATATCTAGTTAGTTCGATGGAAGTAGTAACTTGGAGTGGTGTCTGAGCAAACGAGTCTTATTTCCATAGGAGAGGCCTTGCTCGAGAGCGGTTCTTTTTCAGATTTCAGCTCGCAGCTTACCGGAAGGAGTGATTTATGCATCAACCCTAGTCCTTCAAGATTTATGCCCTTTCCCTCGTCACTAAGTTTTCAAGTGGCATGCCAGCGCATGTTTTGTAGGCATTTCAGGAGAAACTGCAGTCAAGTTATGGGAAATGTGGCGGTTACCAAAACCATTAATCGGGACCATCCAATCTACTTACGGCTCCAAAATATAACAAAAAAAACGTCAGGGAATACCTTACAATGTCAGGATTGCTGACAACTCGAACTCGCGTGGTATCGGTTAAGAGGACGATAAACCAGAACTTATTTGGGGGGGGGGTAACCGCAACTCATAGTCCATGCGGTTTGGTTCCTGGGTAACCTAATCCCAGGAACCAAACCGCATGGACTATGAGTTGCGCCAAATACAATAACAAGGAATGAAAAATTTTCGTATGTCAAAAAAACTTGGTCACGTAACAGATGTGACGTAACAACAACAAGAAAGAGAAGCAAGAAAGACGAAGACTCAGCAAAACGTACCTAATTCAGGACTGAGATGAGGAAACTCGTAGATGTGTTCACAGGTATTTTTAGAATTTGGGATGCAAAATCCAAACTCGAAATCGAAACTCTTCAACAGTCGGTCCTGCAAATAGTTTCAGCCTATATTTTTTGGTACCGATCACCTTGGTACTGCCGATCTTAAGGTACAACAAATCTTGCAAACGATACACTCTCACAGTATACGCTCGGATGTAGGAAAACAGGATTAGTTGGTATCAAAATAATCTACCTTAACAATCCGGTGCTTCTAGGAAGAACTTCGGCCCGGAGTTAGACTATTTTTTTTCATTTCTGTTAAACAAATTTATTAAATTGTATTATATTCTATATATTTATTGTATTATATTTATTATATTTATTAATTGTGATTGTGTTCATCAGCCCGACTTTCCCATTTTTCCGTATTCCTCGCAGGCCTCGAATCCCACCGATGAGGATATTGTAGTTTTGTTAGGCTTGTTCGTTGTCGATGCTATAACGTGTCATTGGGCTGGATTTAGCGCTGCACCGGCTCGTTTTCCACTAACTGTGGTCGCCTGCCCGCAGTTAGTGAAAAACAGCAGGCGTCATGCCTAAACCCAGGCTAACACACCCCGCATCCGCACTGAACACTACTGGACCTTCCTTCTCCGAAGAAAGTGAAAAGGTCGAGAAGACAGTCCAAATAAAAATAGTAATAGTTCGGAAGATTGGAATTTGGGATGCAAAATCCAAACTCGAAATCGAAACTCTTCAACAGTCGGTCCTGCAAATAGTTTCAGCCTATATTTTTTGGTACCGATCACCTTGGTACTGCCGATCTTAAGGTACAACAAATACTGCCGATCTTAAGGTACAACAAATCCAAACGATGCTTTCTCACAGGGATTAGTTGGCATCAAAATAATCTACTTAACAATCCGTTGCCCCTAGGAAGAACTTTGGCCTGAAGTTAGACTGTTTTTTTTTCATTTCTGCCAAACAAATTTATTAAATGGAATTTATCAGCCCGACTTTCCCATTTTCCGTGTTCTTCGAAGGCCTCAAATCCCACCGATGAAGTAGTTTTGTTAGCACTGTTCGTTGTCGATGCTGGAACGTGTCGTTGGGCTGGGTTTAGCGCTGCGCCGGCTCGTTTTCCACCAACTGTTGTCCTGCCCTCTTCAACAGTTAGTGGAGAACAGCAGGCGTCATGTCAAACTCAGGCTCTATAACACGCCCCGCATCCGCACTGAACAGTGCTGTACCTTCCTTCTCCGAAGAAAGAGAGTGGAAAGCTCGAGAAGACAGACCTAGTAAAAATTAATTAATCTAGGAATTTAAGAAATCACAGTCTCGAATGCAACGATACCAAAAATGGTACATTATAAGAGCCGCCTTGTGAAATCAGTGTATCCTAATTGGTTTTCTACTTTCTAGACCGGGCACATCGAGATGTGCAAAATAACGGTGTCATTACGACTACCCCCAAATGGAGCTTTCAGTGCAACCCATTCTACTAAAATCTTAATAGCTTCGCCTCTCACCCAAAACTTTGCTGTCGATTGCGGTGGGTGTACAGCACGCATAAAACGAAAATGACCAACTATCAAAAAATTTTCTCAGCGCCTGACCAGCGGCCAAATTCGACCCTCTGATGGTATTCGCTCTACGGTGATGCACCTCTCCCCCCCCCTCCCAGGTGACGTTGGCTTCAAACAACGGTTATAGACTTCATATGTTTAAGGGCCATCACTGCTGTTTGAAAGCACAATCATTGTCATCAATTACTGCGCCCGCTAGTCTCTCTGACAATGATAATATCGGGATCGAATGACACTCA